GTGTATTTGTGCCTGTACTGGGACTTGAACTCAGGGCCTAGGCATTGTCCCTTAGATATTTCATTCAAAACTGGTGCTCTAACCACTTGAGTCACATCATCATTTCCAGCTGTTTTTTTTTTTTTTTTTTTGCTGGTGAATGGAGATAAGAGTCTCACAGATTTGTCTGCCCTAGCTGGCCTCAAATCACAATCCTCTAACCTCTGCCTCCTGAGTAGCTGGGAGTTTAGGCATGAGCTACTGGTGCCTGGCAGTTCATGCCTTTCTAAATATGCTTCTAGAATTCTGGCCTGAGAAGCTCATATTCCAAACTCTCTTAAAGAAAGATGCCAAGGTAATGCTTTTTTCCCCACGGGACAGGTGAAGGAATCAAGGAATAAAGATTCTGGATAATTCAGCCATCAAGTCTCTCTGCCACTGCTAACAAGAGATAGTGTGGGAAACCAAAGCTAAGACCATCCCCTTTCTGATGCTCTTATCTTCCAGTTCTGGCCCAGCTCAAACCACCACTAGGAAAACAGTTTTATTTCAGCAAACATTTTTTAAAAAGGCATATTGGAAATATATATATATATACATATATATACATATATATATATGTCTCTATATATATACTGGCATGTGAAATATTGATGTTCTAGAACAAAGAATGTTTGCAAGTCATTGGGTCTTAGCAAAAGACAGGTGTAAACTTAAGTAGACATAAGAGTCCAGGCCCTGAGGATGGAGGAGGCTGGCTCAGGGTTTACATTTTTATCCAGCATCTGTGGTGCTTTTTAAAAAAATTTTGTCAGTTGTGGGGCTTGAACTCAGGATCTAAGCACTGGTCCTGAGCTCTTTTGCTCAAAGCTAGCGCTCTACCACTTTGAACACAGCGCTACACCACTTTGAGCACAGCGCTACTTCCAGTTTTCTAGTGGTTAATTGGAGATAAGAGTCTCTTGGACTTTCTTGCCTGGGCTGGTTTCGAACCATAATCCTCAGCTCTCAGCCTCTAGAGTAGTTAGGATTACAGGTGTGAGCCACTGCTGCCTGGCCAATATATATATATATATAGAGAGAGAGAGAGAGAGAGAGAGAGAAAGAGAGAGAGAGAGAGTGTGGCTTTAGGAAACACTGGCTGTCTGGGGGGACGGGGGATGGTGGGGGCAGTGATGACGGGTTTCAGTTTCTTCATCTGTGAAAGCAGGAAATCTGAGTGAAGTGTATTTCTTTCTGCAAAGACTCTCTCATCATCAGCAAGAAATATCTCTGAAGCGGAGGTTAGCAGACTTGGTGAGAACCTGCCTCTCTATGCATACCTAGTATCTACTCTGTACCAGGCTCCATGCTAAAACAACAGTACTCTCTCAGTACTCTCCTGAACACAGTAACTCTTCAAACTCCCCCACACACACATATCCCGCTTCCATGAAGACTGGCTACGCCAATCACCTCTGTTTCAACAAGGACAGAAGCAGAAGTTCAGAGGAGGTGAGTGGCTAGGCAGGGACACACACACACACACACACACACACACACACACACACACACACACACACACACACACACACACACACACACACACACACACACACACACACACACACACACACACACACACACACACACACACACACACACACACACACGTTGATTCTAAGCAGAACCAGAGACCCTTAACACACATCCTGGTGCTGGAAGTTCAGTTCACTCCTATACATGTAGCCTCTGATTCACATCAGGACATAGAATTCCTAGGACACACTTCACCTTGATTATAACTGTCTGCTGGGCTGGAAAGTGGGGTGTCTTCCGGCAATGGGATTTTTAAAAACAAGTTCAGCCCAGAAGTTTCTCAGGGCCCGACGTGGGTGGATCATCCGCTATAGCCACTAGGGGGCAACATCCATGACTACAACTCAAAGATGAAGAGGGAAACCCCAGCCACATTTGCAGGATTCTCTTCCAAAGCAAAGTCATGGACAGCACAGGCAGCGGCAAGAAACTCCTACCTCGGGAGGGCCTAGCCTCACATCTCTCCTTTCTCATCTAAACTCCCGAGCAACACCAAACCCCTACCAACCTCCAGCCATGCCCCTTCCCACTCTCATACTGGCTAGGTTTCCAAACACATCCTGTGGCACTGGATAGTACGATCTTCACTGATCTGATGTCAAAAAGCCTTTGGGAAAGGTGGGATTAAACTGTGGTTATGACTGCGGGATTTTTCCCCCCCTCAGCTCGGAGATGTTGCTCACATGATATTATATATAGCAAAATTATATCAATAACTGCCCTGCACTGGACTGAGTACTTTTTCACATTTGTTATTGCAACGCATGTTTTAAACATGACCTTATCTTCACAGCCGTAGGCAATACGGTGTCTCCGTTTCACAGGTCAGAAAGTGGTTCCTTGGAGAGGGAGGGGATGAAGGGCCTCTCATGCTGAAGGGCATGAGATTGGCAAGCAGGTGGTGTTGGTATGGGGGGAGGGGGCAGGATGGAATTGTGATCTATCAGAATCTAAGTTCATGACACACCAGCTTGTGTCTCCCTTTGAAGAATATGCTAGAATGGCAGCTGGGGTGGGGGGCTGTTTTAGCAAATGTGGAGGCCCTAAGTTCAAACCCCAATAATGCCAAGATACAAGAAAAAAGAGGCCACACAAGACTTCCCAAACCATTCCGGACATTACAGGAAAGAGATGCATGCCCCTGCTTGGCTGTCCATGGCCTATCAGCCTGGATCGGACCATTTTGTGTGACCATAGAGGATGTTACAACTATCTAAATGGTCCTTTAGCAGAATAAACGTCTCTACCCTTGATGGGTCTGGAGGCTGAATAGAAAACTCTAGAACCAAGACCCATGCCTCCCCTACCCTCCCCGCCCTGCAAGGAACTGGTACCTGGGCCTCTCTGAAACTGTTTCCCCGCCCCAGACAATTTACAATAAAGGTGAATTTAGCAGAATGAATGGAATTAGCTTTGTTTGGTTAAAAACAAAATAGCTTCCAACCTGTGCTTTTGACCTGTCCTAAACTATTTTCTGATCGCATCCGACAATAACCAGACCAGCATGAAGACAGGCATGATGCAGACCGGGTCTAACTGCTGTCCTGGGATCCGAATGGCTTTGTTTTTCACAGGGGAGAAATGGCGGGGGGGGGGGGCGGGGGGGGTGTTAGAGAAAAGCTTGATGGCTCTCAAATTAGTAGGTCTGTCATGTCCCAAATCATTTGCATTTCTAAAAATGGACTTTGACAGGTAAACAGTTATCTAAATAAGACCAAAAAAACAAAAAAAACCCCAAAAATCTTCTGTCTCTCTCAAGACGCCAACTGGCCAGTCTGGGGTTTCTCATTAAACACAAGATTCTCTTTCCCCAGGTGGGTGTGCAGGGGCCTCCTCCCCAAACCCAGATGTGTTTGAGCCCCTGGAGGCCTGGTCAAGGGGTGAGCCTTAGAAAGTGGGCCTCACGCCCTCATTCAATGGGCTACGGGCTCCGTCGCCTAGCAAGATTTCCCCAGTGTGGTGGCATCTGTAGAGTGGTACCCAGCCAGCTGTATGGACGCCCCCTAGGGTCTGATAGCCATTCAATTCCTGGGGCTCCACCCACAGCCTGGTGAACCAGAAACTCTGCAGTTTAGCCCGGGCATCTGTTTATAATAACCTTCCAGATGAAGAAGATCTATGCTAGAGGGGCTCAAATGTGAGAACCCCAGGTCCCGTGGTCCCTCCTCCCATCACGCCCTCAGCTACCCCGACTCCATTTTCTCCTCTCCATCATCCACCAACACCAGCAGGCCAACCATACTTGTCTGCAAGAGGCAGCTCACTGAATGTCTCCAGCCCCAGCCCACGTTGTCAGTCCCTCCCACCTGGCCCCCTCAGCCCCCCAACTTAGGAAGTCAGAACGGTCATTCGAGAAGGCAAAGTGGTCATGATGGTGGCCAGCCCTGCCTGCATTGTCTCCTAAGCCCCCTTGGTGCAAGGTAACTTGAAGTTCTACCTCCATCTCTCAGGGTAGCTATTTCCTTCCCACATGGAGATCCAGCCAAGCAGAAGGAAATGTGAGAACCATGTTTCTGGTGTGTTCTGAAAAGAACTTCTCCCGTCACCCTGACAGTGGGAAACAGTTTAGCCGTTCAAGTCAGATGGACACGGGTTCAAATGGTTGCTCTACCACGTAGCAGTCTGATGACTTAAGACAGGCATGAATTTTATTGTCACTCACACCCATGACCTCATCTCTAAATAGGAACGACAACACCTGGGCAGAATTAGTGACCAAACAGATGTGAAGGGCCATGACTCTGGCACAGACAGGAAATTCATACATTAATCGAAGCGACCACCTGACCACCTGGTTAACTGATGCACTCAAGTCGACTGGCGCCTTCATCCTGCCTGCCACTCACTTGGCAAAGCTGAGAATGGCTCTCATTCCCAACAAGCCTCGCTCTTCTTTCTGACTCCAAGCCAACCACTTGGTTGCATTTATTTCTCCATCAAAAGTTGTATTCTTTCCCTGAATTAATGTTATGTGTGTGTGTGTGTGCACGTGTGCACACATGCGCACGCATGCCGCCATTTTGCTTTGTAGTTTCCTGAGAGGAGAAATAATAAGCTCTGGAGGCCTTACCTGGAATGGTTTCGGATAGATGAATTCTCCTTCAGGCAACAGATGTTGGCAAGCAAGGGGTAGCACATTGTCCAACAACTGTCTTGGGCACAGACACAACACACCCCGACCTACGCACACGCACGCCTGTGCACATGTGCACAAACATGCACATAAAACCTACACGCTGGAACTTAAGACGGACTTGAATGTCCCGCTCAGGGTGCGCGTGCATGTGTACGCAGACACACACACACACACACACACACACACACACACACACACACACACGCACATCAGATCACACACAGACACCAGGGCTCTCTGGCCTTCACTGTTTAATGTCACATTAGACAACACCTGGACAACAGAACCAGAAAAAGCCAGATGGTACCTTTCGGCAACGTAAGTGTCGACACCGCCCAGTCAGCATCAGAATTGCCTAAAAGAATAACAATCGAGAGATGCTAATCCGTTTGCTGGGCAGTCTGTGTCTGTAGCACCCTCAGACCTCCACAGTCCTATCTGTGTCAGCTTTAGCTTCCAGGGGGTAGTACCAGGCCTCAGGGGACCCAGGGGCAGTGGACATAAAACTATGTAAGGAAAACCACATGCTGTGATACGCACATGCTCTATGGTATGAATGCCTGGCAGAAGATCAGAAAAAGGGCCTTGGACATACTTAGAAGTCTGTGCTTAATCTGAGATGGAGAATTGCTAAGCAGCAAGCCTGGTTTGAATGTTAGCTCACAGGAAGAAAGGAGAGTCAGTCCGCCCAGAGCCTGTGCCCTTATGTCCAGATGTAAAGTTTTACTCTGCTTTATCTGAATCCCATTCCAGAAAGAGGGCACATTTTCCTAGATGCCAGCTCCTCATTCTCTGAATGCCAGGTGCCGTGGAACCTGTCCAGCACAAAGCCTATGTGGAAAACATACTGTCCGGTGAATCAATGAATTCCATTTTCTCCAAACAGTGAATCTTGCTAAACAAGAATGAAATTCCCCTCAACATGGAATTATGTGAGAATCCCATCATGAGTTATATGGTGCTTCGGGGAACAGAGGTGTGTCTGGAATTTTTTTATCCTAAGTCAGTTTCTTCCCATAGGATTCCCTTTCAGATGTAACCAAATGAGACCTGGAAGACTCTCATATTATTATCAGAATTCCAATGTGACCCCAGCTACAAGATACAGGAAGATGAGGAAGATCACAAACCCTGTCCTCAACGATCCTCTTTACATAAGACTGGGTTTTACTAAAGTGGGGGCTTCTCCCTATTGGCTGGATGCCTGACCAATCAGCGAGCGCTTATCAGCCAGCATCTTTTCTGGACTTAGAGGAGTCTCTCTGGGAGTCTCACAGACCAAGTCCTGAACACTTTCTTCACAATTTCCCTGAGATGATTATCAGGCTGCCAGCCGAGAGGAGATGCAGGGAACAGTCTGTGATCTGAATGCAGGGCACAGAGCCAGCCCCATTTAAACAGTTCTGGTTGGCCTCCCGGCCATGCCAAAGGACACACTCAAATGGCCACATTATGTCCTTGCAGGATCTAAACTCCACACCCTCTTCACTGAAGAGCGAGCACCCGTGACAGGAGAAGGGTGAGGATGTTAAAATTAAGCGGGCCCTGACTGGTAATGACTTACTGTTTCTTCTTCCTGGGAGCCAGACACAGCTGGAAATAGTGAGAGAGATTTTCCTTGGCGTGAGGCTGATGGGTCCTTGAGTCACTGGTTCCACGGAAGTCATCCCACCCCCAAGGCCAATCTATCACCACCTGCCTTGAAGGCAGGCGCTTCTCTTTCTGTGGCTTGTGTTCTGACTTGTCAAAGCCAGGCTTCTCACTCTCCTTCACACCTCCGTCAAATAAAAAAAGGTCACTCCGGCTACACAATGAATGCCCACGGCTCTCCGTTCTAACTTCATGATACTCGTGGACACCAGATGAATATATTTGGGTAAGAAAACAACAACTACAACAACAACAAGCTCATTCAGATGGGATTGGGATGGACCCAAGATGTAGAAAAGATAAAGGCTATGAGGGACCGTTTGATACCATGACTTATTCATGGGGGTTGGGGTCGCTCTAGTGTGAGCATCTTTCGAAAAACCACCCTGTGGTAAGAAGATGATCTGTGTAGTTCACTGTAAATGAGGATACCCCAAATCTGCCGTGCCTTGATTGGGCTCAGCATCATGGGAAAAAATCTTTCCCTTCAAACAAAGAGAAGCAATTTATACCTCAGCTAATTAAGCCTTGTCAAAAAAAAAAAAGCAGGAGAAGGGAAGAGGTGACTCATGTCAGTGTTTTAAAAAAAGGGGGTGCCTTCCCCAACAGGTCTTTGCCTCATTCTAATACTTGGGAATCCCAGAACTTTCTCCGCAGAAGAAAAAATCATTTCGTGGTAGAAACAGGCTTTTTCTGAGTCAGGAAGCCTTGGATATGAGCCCAAATAGTCACACTGAACCTCAGTTTCCCAATCTATGAAGCGTAGGAAGTGTAGGACTAAGGCCTTCCTCAAAGTGTGCTGTCTGGGCATTCCATTCCCTTAGACTTCTTTCTTTTTTTTAAAGAGAACGTTAAACTAGCAGTGATCAATCTCTGGCTGAAAGCATTGTGCCTCTCTTCTGGCTTTCCACAGCAAGGACAAAGAGTGAGTATCTGCCACATTGGAGTTATTGTTGCTGAGGGTATTTTTTTTTATACTATTGGAGAAATGTAACAAGATTCTGGTAGAACAGTCAATCATCTGTCAAATAGCAAAACAGAAAATGTTTTCTTAAAATAAGATTCCTTTTTTTTTCATTTAAAAAGAAAAACACGAAGGCATAACAGCATTTCATTAGCTATGTACAAATGCCGGTCCATTCTGTCCATTCTAGCCAGGGCTGAGGTCAGAAATCTTCCTCAGCCTAAGAGTTCAATGCTCAGAAACTTAAGGGGTAGGGGGTCGGGGGAGACTGGACAAGGAGCTAAAAGGAGATGAACATTAATGCGCAGGCAACTTCCTGCTTCCAACATCTACCAGAAAAGGATAGATCTTTATTTTCCCTGGTCTTAAAGGTAGGAGTTCCTCTGTGCCTGAACCATTGAGTAACCTTGAGAGGATATTTTCACAAATGCCTCTATCTTGCTAACACTGACCTATGAATATCCACAGGCCGTTTCCCCAGCGTACAGCACCGGCCAGGGAATTGTCCTCTCTAAACCTGATAGAGGATGATTTGCATGAACCAACAAAAATGAGCTAGTAAAGAAGGCGGGTGGGGAGAATTTGCCTTCAAAATGCCCTCCCCAAAGGAGGCCATGGATGGAGGAGATAGGTTTTGTGGTCTGCAGCAATGCTAAAAACAAGATGCAAGTGGTATTGTGCAATCCTGTAGTTCTTAAATGAGAATAGGGACCGCACTGGGGAAGCACATCTTTAGCTCCCTCGTTTTTTTTTTCTTTCCCCCACATGAAGAAGTGAAATCCTAAGTCCTGAGTGATCAGCTCTTCCTCCGCTGGCTAGGTTTGAGCTGCGGCCTGAGCCAGGACAGAGCCTCTGACTGACTGTATGACCAGCGTTCGGGATATTAGACCCTCCCGAGAGAAATTCGCTTTTCCAGCCTCATTTCTGACCTGTGCAGTGAGCAGAAAACTCGCAGAAAATGATGCAAACCATTAAAAAAAAAAAACTTTTCTCCTGGGTGGTAATGATTCCACTAATGAAGTGCATTTCATCATTCACACCACAATCACATTATGCCTTCACAAAGAACTCTGGAAAGAACATTTATTATGGGAGTTGTGGTTCACGGATGCGGGCAGATGCTAGACTCTGAATAATAGCTGGGTCATTGGAGACATAAAGACCCCTGTGCTTCTGTGAAAGCCCCGAAAAGTCCCCAAGAATCTCAAGAAAGAAGAGGAGTCCTACCAAGCATATCTAGGAATGGGGAGGGGTCCCCAAGAGAGCCCCTTCTGTCTTCTAAGGTTGTGTCTTTAGTTCCTCAACTATTGGTTCTTGTCAAAGACAAGCTCATTCATCCATCCAAGAAAACTTTCAGGACTTCAGACTTGTGGGGGGAGCAAGCTACACCAAGTGTATTCTTATACTGCAAAATTCAGCTGCAGATGTGTGTTGTCTAATGCAGCCCTAAACAGAAATCCTGGAGAGAGAAAAAAAAATGAGGGAGCTGTATGGGAAAACATCCATCACTCATCTACCCAAAGACTAGAGTGCTGGGAAGAAGAGACTGGGCCTAGGTGGAAAGAACAAGTTGTATAAGACAGTGGGATTGGTTCCGAGAGAAATATATGCCTGGGCTGATTTTTTTTAATGTGAATACCTAAAGAAGAATCAGATATCACAGACTCCGTTCGTCACCCAGCGGTGGTGCTCAGAAACGGAGGTGGGCCATCAAATCACATCTGAAGGCTCCAACCTTTCCATCAGCAGTGAAGATGTCCTCATTCTTACTCTCCTAGGCAGTCGCCCTTGACCCTTCCTATTAACACGTGCGTGTATTTGAGCATCCTCCGGATGCACGTGCTATGCAAACACACAGAATGGACTAGCGGGTTCTCGGGCGTAATGAGGGCTGAGTTGGGCACAGACATGAAGTGTGAGACTTGAATAGAAATAGTCAGAAAGACCTTGCGGGGCTACAGGCTTTGAGAAACCCCTGTCCATTTTACATAGCCTGAGACCTTGCTGTGACGTTGGCATCATACATTTGGATGGAATCATCAGAACCCAGGAACACGAGTATGTAAAGATAGGCTTCTGGCACACACACTAATGACCTAGTCTGTGCCTGCCCCTGTGTGAGGCCCCCAGTAGAATTCTCCTGTGAATCTCACTATTGTAAGTCATAGATGGACAGACAGCGCAAGCATCACAGACACACAGTAGTGTCTACACTTGACCTGCCTTTGAGTTGATAAGGGAATCGGAATATTCCAATTGATTCTAATAGAATCAATCCATATCCCATCCAATTTCTAATGAGGGGCTTTGCAGTGGCAGGGGCTGTGGGGGAGGGGGAAAGAAAAGAAGACGAGTAATTGAGAAGAAAGGAAAGTATGTGGTCAGTGGGGTTCTCTGGACATCTCCAAAGATGTCCAGGAACCAGAAGTATGTGGGAATCAATCAATTGTATAGACAGCTAGAGAACAGAAGGCCCTCCATGGATAAAAGGGAATTATTTCATTACTCTGGGGATGACGGGCAAGGGCTGTGGAGCTGTGGAAGGAGAATACTGGCAGGAGATCTGAGCACAGGGAAAATGGCGTCTCAGCGGGCCACACATGGAGCAACTTAGATAGTGAGAGATTCTGTTAAGGGAAGGTGAGGAAATGCATGATGAACAAATAGCTTTTCCAGACTAGACTATGAAATATTATTTTTATGGGCCTATGTATGCCCACTTTATAGAAGACCGAGGCCAAAGGAGAGGTCAAGCATTACCCAAGGTAACACCAAAGAAGTGGTAGAGCTGGGATCTGAACCTGCATCTGCGGTTAAGTGAAAAGGCTGACCTGAAGATCTCTCCTCTGAGATTGGAGGACACAGTGAGGAGAAGAGAGAGGCATTTCCATCTGGGCTAGAAACGCAAGAGAATGGGGACAACAGGAAGGACAACCCACAAGAGGGAGTTCAGGAAGTCCGGGTGATGGAATCTGGTTCTCCTGGATGTGAGGCAGAAAGAAAAGCCGAAATCGACCTCTCTCAGCCCGGGCTTCCCATGAGACACACCTAGCTTGTGAAAACTTCCCAGGTCTCAACTCCTGAAATGTCTGGCCTGGGTGAGACCGGGGTATGGGCATGCTTCAACGGCTCTGTGCCTGCGTCTACTGATGGGAACCACAGTGAAGATTACTGGCAATCCCCCCCCCCAACCCCGGGGTTCAGGAGCCACTGACTTCAGCTGCGGTCCTGGTTTCCATCCCAACTAGCTCTTTGGGGAGCAAAGCGTTCAGAGGCTCAGTCATTGCCACAGTCACTGTGGGAAGAGGGGGAGACCAAATGGGGAAACCAAGGCAGTGGTGGGGTCACTTGTGAACCCTGGATTAATAACAACAACAACAACAAAACACCAGCTCACTTCTCAGCTCTGTCGCCCACGGCGCTCCAATTCGGGGGGGGGGGGGGGGCAAGTCAGAGCCTGCTCGAGTCTCTGTGTCCGACAGCTGGGATTAAGAACTGTGCCTTCCCCTTCGGCTCAGCAAGGCCGGGTAGGTAATAAAGGGTCTAATGAAGAATTATACAAAACCCACGGTATAGCCCCAGGCTGCCCTCAACAGTTAAGCCACTTCTGTCTGGAAGGAGCGGAGCTGCCTGAGACCAGATTGTGGGATTGTGCATTGCTTGTGGGCGGGACTGGGTAGGGGAAGGCAAGGCCTGGCTGAGCTTGAAAGATCCAGACTCTGCATCTGGGCATGCTGAGGGTTCGCCAGGGCAGAGAGGAGATGCTCAGGGGGACCCCATGAGCATCCAGGCCCTCCCCCATCTCCAGGAAGGACCTCTCCCCACACAGGTACCACCCCCCCCCCACCCCACACAGGTACCGCCCCCCCCCCCGCCCCAATCACCCGGCTCCACCCTACTCCTGACCACCACATCAAAGCTGGATGTGAGCTGTGTCAGAGGAAGTTGCTGAGGGACTCTGGTTCTCAGAACCCCAGTTCCCAGGTAGAAGATAGATGGTAGATAGATGGATGGATAGGTAAGTAGGTAGATAGATAGATAGATAGATAGATAGATAGATAGATAGATAGATAGATAGATAGATAGATAGATAGATAGATAGATGATAAATATAGATGATGATCTCAATGATAATGATGATGGTGGTGGATGGTGATGATAGAAAGGTAGATAGACAGATGATAGGTGTAGATGATGATAAAGACACCTAGATGAAGAGATAGATAGATGATAGATAAATAGATAGATAAATGATAGATAGAGAGAGACAGAGACAGAGAAAAAAGAGATATGAGAGTAGAGAGAAGTAGAGAGAAGCAGAGATGGGGAAAAAAAGAGACAGAAATGATAGAAAATAGAAAACCCAAGAAGGCTGGAGAGAGAAGGGGGGAAGGAGGGAGGGAGGGAGGGAGAGAGAGAGAGAAAGAGAGAGACCTAAAAGGAGACCAGTAGAGCAGAGAGAGGAGGAGGCAAACAGGCCCGTGCAGGTGGCCCTTACCGACTGCCTTCAAGGAGGCGTACTTGTTGAGCTCTTTGCCCGGTGGCGGCTGCTCATAGGGGTTGGAGATGTGGCCCAGGTTGGGGTACGAATGTGGGTGGCCCATCTGTTGGAGAAGAGGCGAAGTGGGCACCGCGTTGTTCATCTGGGTGGTATCTGGAAGTGAAGGAAGACAGAGCAATGGTCATTTCTGTTCGCCCATCCTCTCTACCATGATCACATCCCTCCTGCCCGTGAGGGGACAGGAATGGCAGAGCAGCAGATCACATACAGGTGTGTCAGCAACAACCAACTTCATAATCTTCAATGGGGAGTCACGGGGGGCCGACAGGTAGCCCCGGGGCCAAGCATGCGACCAGCAATGTCCCCGCCTCCACACACCCCCTCCTTGGGTTTGTGTGACCGGCAGGGTCCTGCGGTAGAGGTCATTTTTGTCACCAAAACAATATCCGTACAAAAAGATGCTCAATATGAATAATAATCAGAACGGATGAGGAGCAGAAGAACACAGGAAGCTGTTCCTTTGCCAGGAGGCTAGGCAATATTGGAAGGACCATAGGGCATCAGAGCTGGCATTGGCATGGAGGACAGAGAGGCCTCATAAAATCATTGGTGGGTGTTTGCTGGCCTGCTTTATCTGCGGACAGGAATTGAGCAGGGTGTAGTGAAATGGGAAAGCACATGAACACGTTGACCAAATAATACTGCGTCCGACACAATGAATGTTTGAGGTGATGGATAAGCCAATTATCCCCATCTGAGCATTACCCAGTATGCACCTGGACCACAACGTCACACTGTATTCCTTACACATGCATAAAATTATTACGTGCCAGTTAAAAATAATATTTAAAAACTGACTGAACAAGGCGTAGAGAAAGCCCAATGACATGGGTACGCCAACAAGCTAATGGCTCAACGACAGATCTTACTTTTGTAAAATATACTTTATTAGCTGGGCATCAGTGGCTCATACCTGTAATTCTAGCTACTCAGGAGGCTGAGATCTAAAGACTGCAGTTCAAAGCCAGTCCTGGCAGAAAAGTCCGTGAGACTCTTAGGTCCAATTAACCACCAACAAAGCTGAAATTGGCACTGTGGCTCAAGTGGTAGAGTGCTAGCCTTGAGCTGAAGAGCTGAGGGACAGCGTCCAGGCCCAGAGTTCAAGCCCCATGACTGACTCTATATATATAATTGTTAATGTTATTGTAGAGGTACTATACAGAGGGGTTATACTTATATGAGTCAGGCAATGAGTACATTTCTTTTTGGACAATGTCACCCCTTCCCAGTTTTTCCTTCCCATCCCCACCTACAAGTAGTGTAGCTCATTTTCCACATAGTGTTTAGTGAGTCCCACTGCTGCATTTGTTTACCCTTTGTCCCTCCATTTCTGTACCTTCCCCCTTCCTCTCCCAAAGACAGATAAGCTAACAAACAAGACAAAATGAAAAGCCAACAAAAATAGCAAATCTCTTATTTCCATTTCTCGGAGTTCATTTCAAAAAAATATTATTTTATAGGTAGATCTCATTTAAATAAAACCAGATCTCAAACATTAGCTTCTCTAAGTAAGAGCTGAACCTCCATCGCACCCCTGTGCTCAAAGCACTGATCCAGCCTGCGAAGGAAAATGGTAAGCATTTCATTAAAGGGGTAAAAAAAAAAACCCATCTGTAGAGATGTTCCTCACAGGACATCTTAGGACAGCTTTAATATTATTACACAGGGTGCTTAATATTCCATTACAGAGTATTTGCTTTCAGGTAAGTTCGGCCCAGTCTTGCGCTACCTTGGAGGCAGTGAGCACTTACGGAGTAAGGAGGCGTGACGGAGGGACTCACCAAAGCCATCCCGCAGAAGGGCGGCCGTGAGACTATCCCAGAGCTCTGGCCCCAATTCTGCATGTAGAACCACACGAAGCCAATCTCTGGCTCTGGCAGTTTTAGCCATTCTGGGCTAGCTCGGAGGCACTGGATATTCAGACATATTAAATAAATCCCGTCTCTGAATTATCAAACAGACCTTTGTGGCTACAGTGGTTTTTTAAATGTGATTTTCATTTTATTGGACAAGAAGGTAGACCAGACCTGGCAACCCAGAAGCTCTGTTTTCTCCTCCCCACCCCCCAAAAAAAATATTTCCATTAAAGAAAGAACAAAATAAAAGTTCAGAGTGGGGAACCCTGGTTGACGTCAAAGAAAAGCAAAATAACAAGGTTGAGTGAAGAGGACAGAACGGGTTAAGATTTGGGTCATAATCTGTAAATACTGCTCTTAACAAGTAATACACACACACACACACACACACACACACACACACACACTTAAAGCTGTGGATGCAGATATACATCTGTATATATATCCACCTCTATACGATATTTAATTGCATTTTGCCTAGTTATGGTCATCGAGGAATCTGTAGCAACCACAGAATCTTGCTCTTAGCACAAATAAATTTTCTTCTAGACACATCTCTCTGTATCCTGGAGATATTTTCCCCACCTGGATGGACAAGTCCTATCTGCCCAGTGCCACAAGGAAACTTGCCTCACCTCGTGCAATTCATTACGACTCAGAACTGAGGAAAGCATGGTATTGCTGGGGGGGGGGGGGACGATGTGACATTGCATTCAATCAAGACCCTCCCTTGACAAATCCCTCCTGAGCAAAGAAGATCCTCATACAAATGATGGTTGCAGAAGTGAGATCCGTGGCGTAAGACACAGCTGCTCTAACTGGAAGCATCCAGTAGCCTCACCCCCGGGTAAGCACTGTGTAAAAACTATTATTATGTGGCATGTCTTAGTTGCTCAACAGAAATGGATTCTATTCACATCTGGTCAGTTCCTGTTAGGAAGGAAGGAAGGAAGGAAGGAAGGGAGGGAGGGAGGGAGGGAGGGAGGGAGGGAGGCAGAGGTACCCATACTGACAGGAAAAAAGACAAAAGAAAAATCAGAAACCTGGTCATCTTGGAGAAAGAGTTAACAGGAGTAACTTAGACAGAGTGGCTCATGAAGAATAGCACTGAAGGGCACAGGGGGGTCAAACCACGCTGCTTTTGTGGACAGACATTGTGCCACGCATGTGCAAGTGACATGTGTGCAGCCTCTCCTCTGGTCTTGTACCAGCCTCTGTGAGGAGCCATGGTGATGATGCTGTTTGTGTTCAGTTCTTACGGCAGAACAGTTTCACAGAAATACTGCAAAGATGGTACAGAACATCCCCCATATGCCCAGGCCCAGAACCGTATCATTAACATAGGCGTATGGTACATTTGTTAGCATGAATGAACCCGTATGCATCCACTGCTATTAACAAAAGCCAGCACTTCATTCAGGTTCACTCAGCTTTTTTTCTTCTTTCTTTCTTTCACCAAATGTCTTTTATCTGTTCCAGAATCACACTCAGGGGAAAGGCACGACTTAGTCACACATCTCCTTAGGTTGTTGCTTAGCTGTCCCAGCTCCTCCAACATGCCCTGGTTTAGATGGTTTTGACAGTCTTAGAGGGAAGAAGAAAGCCGGGTCAGGCATTGTGTGAAACGCCACTCAAGTACAATCTGTCTCGTGATTTTGCCCTCCGTGACTTGATATGAGCCACTATGACCTTGGGGAGCTGGCAGTTCATCAGATTCTTCCACTACAAAAAATGTCTGTGTCTTCCCTCCTTGCCTCCTGGAGTGTTTAGAAGAAGCTGGGGTGTGTCGTCCACACCTAAGGGAGCAGGGGTGGCTGGCTGCCTCCCGTGCGGAGAATTGTCTATGGGGTCTACTCCGAATTCATCCTCAAGAGTCGTGTCTCGTCTCTTCCTGCTTCACTTATCCATTTGGTGATTTGTTCCTAGCCCACGTGGACATGCTTCGATACTTTGGGTGATAATGCCATACTAGTAGACTTGGGCTTACTGCTCGGATCGCTCTAGGTGTGGCCAATGGGAACTTAATTGGTTCTGACCGCCCTTCACCATAACTCCATCTGGTTTTTTTTTTTTTTTACTATTATTTTTTAGTACTTCTTTATTTTCTGGTAATATAGCACGCTCCAGGCTCATCTTACATATTTCCTGTCCTCACCTGAGGATCATTTCATTTCTTCCAGAGGGCTGGTTCATTTCACTGTTGAAGGCTGTTAGAAATGGTGGTGGAGCCGGACGTTGGTGGCTCACACCTGTCATCCTAGCTGCTCAGGAGGCTGAGATCTGAGGATCCAAGCCAGACCTGGCAGGAAAGTCTGTGAGACTCTTATCTCCTCCAATTAACCACCAAAAAGCCAGACGTGGAGCTGTGGCTCGGGTGGTAGACCATTAGCCTTGAGCACAAAGAGGCTCAGGCACAGAGCCCAGGCCCTGAGTTCAAGCCCCAGAACTAGCAAAATTATATATATATATATATATATATATATATATATATATATATATGACAAAAAAAGAGGGCATAGCACAAGTGTATGTACAATGCCTGACTGCCAAACACAAGGCTCTTGAGCTCAAACTCCAATAACATCCCAAAAGGGAACAAAAGAAACACAGAAGGTTTCACTCAGGGGGGCTTTGTCTCTGCTCCTTGTGCAGTGGGTGGGATGAGGATTTCCCTGAGGTGTGCAGACAGGGGCATGTAGACGGTCTACAAATATCTACACAGGCAGAGACTGCTGTGCACGTCCACGTATGCTTCCAACTCACATCTATTCCTTCTAATGGAAAATTCTAGCCCCTTTCACCTGCTTCAACTGAGGGCGAAGAGGGGACGCCGGCCTCACCTCTGGGGGAAGGGGGCGGGGGGAGGCAGCTGCCACGCGGACCCAAGGAGGCCCCGGGCCCGCACAGACCATCTTCCTGCCCCGCCCCTCCGTGGGCAGCTTCCGGCTGTCACAGAGTGGCTCACTCAGTTAAACCTTGCCTTGTTGGTCTTCCTCAATGGCTCTTATATTCTACCTGGCCTGAGACCTGGGGGTCTTACCTTGGACCCTGTCAGGCAGGGCTCTGGGACCCACATGGCAGCCATGGTGATTTCCTTCCACCTTCTTTTTTCTCCCCATTCTCTCCAGGCCAACTCAGACAGAAGCCATAAACTTAAAAATGTTCCACTTAAAGGCTGGTCCTGCTTCTCTAGGTATTACAACATGATTTTATGGCTAAGGAAATCAAAATGGTTGT